AAGCATTGGGTACAGGACTAAGTCTCCCCTGGGTGGTGCCAAAAGATGAGCGCAATAGAATCATCAAGTTGCCATAAGGCACGGAATGAGACTATTGCATGGCTGGGTAGTCAAAGTCTTCCATTCGTTAGTCATTTCAGGTGGATTAGAACAGGTTTAGGTTTAGGGTGGGCGTTGGCCAGATTTGGATAGGATAGGATAATCCTAAATAGGACCTAGATTATTTAATACACTAGTAACCTCAACTTCTGTCACAATGTTTCATTGTGACTAATCAACACGCAATGGGTAAAATATCAAATTTGCGGTAAATTTGAAAAAAGGGAACTTGGAGTGTAGAGCGCACTGCCCACTGGACGATTCTGAAGCCTCACCAAGTGAGTGGGTTACGGGTTTATTTGATTGTACGTCATTTCCAAGTTATATATAGATACATTCATACCATTGGCATTTTGTATTTGAGCTAAGACAGAGACAGATCGTTATTACATTTTTTTTTTTGCTGTGCACTACACCACCGGAGCCAGCAAAGTTCAACAATCCATCGTTGCTTATGCCTTTGTTGTCGTTTGGAACCAGTTTTGCGAGGTAGGCGACGATTGTGCGTATTTCTCGCGTAACTTTTGAAAAGGGCATATTTATAGCCTGAACAATACGTAAAGAGCAAATTGAAACATTGAACGTCGCGTGAAAGTGGAACTTAATGAAGGCCTAAGTACTTTTTCGTAGTTTTTAGTTTTCGGATTTGAAAGATCGTTGGTTACACTGGCCTGCTTACTGAGCAGAAAAACGCGGTCCCAGGTCAGATTTATGGTAAAATCGCTTGTGTATCGTGTATTTTGCGAAACTCGTTGTTGTTGTTGGTTCCGGATTTGAATGGATACACAAATTTGAGCAACGGTATTATGTGATATGAGGGGCTCGGTGGCCTTAGAGCAACCGTTTTTGCTTACTGAGCAGAACATCATGAGTCTAATCTCAGGCCCATCCACATTCAAGATTCGTCAATCGTTTTATTTGTTAATATGACTAAATGGTAATAACAGCAACTCGGTGATTAAAAAGGTGCTCGTCTGCCTAGTGGCAAACGTTTTTGCTTACTGAGCAGAAGACCGTGGGTTTAGTCCCAAGCTCCTTCGCGTTATATGATCGTTAGGACATCAATTCAGCTTATCGTTTACCAAAACGAAACCCTGCTGCAAACCCAACCCTCTTATCCAACATCCCAGTGATTCCTCGTGGAAGTGCAGAGGTGTTCTCGGCTTCCATCAAAGCGAGTGTCATGTCAACACAATCCTTCCCATTCCTTTCTTGACCTGTGTTCGGGCGCGGCCGGCGCTGGTATTGCCTAATTTAAGATCACCAGTTTTTACACATTGAGGATGATTGCTAGTCCCAAGCATCGTCTATTGGTTCTCTGTGTAATTACAGCTGATCTGGCAGTAACAGAGTAGCAACCGTGGGCGGTCAATCAAGCTCAAGCTCAAGCTCAAGTTAGATTTTTATAGATTTCATGGTCACAATATAGCTGTACTTCTTTACTCCAGACCACATGTGACCATGAATACATTATTTTATAGTGTAGTTCAATTAAATCTTCGACCTTGGTTTGCTTCGAAAACGATTAAATTCAGTTCGGATGATCTGTCGAATCCCTAATGCATTGATTTCTAAGCATGTCGATATCACTACCATGACAAAACTCGTTAAATAGTGCACCTAAAAGCGAGCTTTCTTGGGTGGCGGGTGGCAAGTTTGTGAATGGTCAAATGCCTAATGTAAGCCAAGCAGACCTTCTATCACCTCTTTTTGAAACATACCACAAATTTTCCACAATACATGGCGGTTTGCACCACTAGTTGTACTTCACTTTCAGCAGTCACGCTGTAAGCTCTTCCCATAGACAATAACGAATTAGCTAACAAATGTCTGAGCTCATGATTGTTTCTGTATTCGATGTTTACCCATACATGCGGTTTACTGCTAGTTGCCCTTGTATGCGCTTAAACTAAGTCATAATATCTTAACACTAGTGCACTCACTGATCGCTGCCTGTCGCTACTGCCGCGGGCTGCCGTGGATGGAGGCCTCCCCGAAGGTGCCGCCTTTCCGGAAGTCTCGTTGTGCGCTCGGATCATATGCTGACGAAATGGGCGCCTCGCGTTCTCGACATGACCGGCTTATCACTGCAATCGCTATGGGTATGCCGTGCATGGAAGCCTCTCCAAAGCTGCCACCACCCTGTCCTCCACTTAGTTCGTTCGTCTCGTGCGCCGACAAGACATGCGCCTCACACCCTTGACTATGGCCGACGTGTCGCTTCTGCCGTTCCGATGCCGGATTCAGCTCGCCCTAATCGGTGACGTCCGGAATCGAATCACTCCACCAGCACCACGTGCAGCCGTGAAGGAGCAAAACTGTGTGTGAGAAAAGAAGCCCTATATGGCGGTGCAATTAGTTTCACGACTGTCAGTTTCGTGTCGATGTGAACACGTACTTCTCGAAGAAGGCTCCTTTTTTTTTCCTTGAGTTCCTTCCGGCCGAGCGATCGATCGTCGCTGCTCCCCCGAGTCCTTGCCGACTCGTTGCCGTTAGGCTTCGTTGTTTCGGCCGAACCTTTACCGTTTGCGCTGGTGGTAGATGGTGGCTTGTAACTGCAGGAGGTCATCCAATGAACAGAACGCACGTAATAATTATTTCAGGTTAATTTACCTCTCGCCGCAGCCGTATTAAACTTGGCTGAAATGACCCCGCTCTGGTGGGCTTTGATCGGCACGGAGTTACAACCGTTTTCCGCACACACTCACTCCCGATTTCGCGTTTGCGATGCCTTGACGTGCACTGTCGGCACCACTAGTCTACACGACAAACCAGACACAAGTGAAGACTTGCCCGTGCTGTGCCGGTTTTTTCTCATTCCAGCGGAAACTGTCCCGCGCTGACAGTCGAATGGCAGTGACAGGCAACGAATATCCCTTTCTTGACTTTCTTGCCAATCTTCGATTAGCTGCGTTCTGTTTTACTGTTTACATAATGGCTGCACTCTAAATGCTAACTATCCAATCTATGGCTAATACTAACTAGTCTGCAGCATTTATTGCTTAAAACAAAGTAACTGTAATAACGCGTCAAATGGGAGCAACACGGAAACAGCAGTCTGGTACGCTTTGGACGTGTATCATACTAGCAGACCGGTTTGAATGTGTGAGTTTAAATTAGAAGAACATTTGTGATGTATGGGTGCCTAAAGCGTGCATTTTTCGCTGTGCACGTGGATATCTGATTGCAGGCAAAGAGCGTAATGGAGAAAGAGAGCGCAAAAGCTCGCTCTCACTATCTTGTCAGTTGTAAATCTCTCAATTACCGATGGTTGCGCCGGTGCGCCTGTCAAAACTTATGAGCTTCCCCTGTTTCATTATGATAGTGTTGTTCTGATGAATAAAGAGTTGATTAATTCAAGTTTGCTACCCAGGGGACTTCATGAATTCTCTCTAGATTTTGACACTGTTTTGTATCAAAAAATGTTTTCGGAAGTGTTGACGAATATTCTTCATTACACTTCAGTCGAAAGAATTAGCCTTGTGATAAAAATGAATTTAGCTAAGAATTAGAAGAGTTAAGTTTTGCTATTCATCCTACTTCGGTTAGCGCGAAAAGGGCCATGCAAGTTTTGTTCACACAAGATTATAGGCCCTTCAAATGTTACGTTAGTTAGTGATTAATATAGTAATTCCGGAGTGATTTGAGATTTAGGCGTAATTGTATTTGTAAACAAACACGTCAATCGCCGATTTCTCGCGAATAAAAGCTCAATTTTGAAAACTAATAACACTATGAGGTAGAGGTAAGATTCCTCTATCATTTGGTATAGTTTGTTTACATGATTGAGATTTTATTCACGAGAAATCGACAATTGACTAGTTTGTTTACAAATACAATTACGCCCAAATCTCAAATCACTCCGGAATTGAGAATATGTCCCAACAAAAAAACAAAAACTAATATGTGGTGGTAAACTATAACGAACAAAGTTTGGTGCACAGGTAAACAAATAAGGCACGCGGCGCCTCTGCTAGAATGGGGTACGTTAATCGATTTGCTTGGCACCAATAGGCTAGTTAAGTAGTGAGCCAATTTAAAATCGTTAGTTTCGAATTGATTGTTGCTTATAACATGTTATAGCTGCTCAGTCTACGCCATTGAATGCCGAATAAGAGCTTATTAAGGCAAAAATATGCTTCTTCAGCTTAAAATTGCATATTCAGCTTTTAATCAGCTCAATTTGTTTGTTGGGTGTTTTAGACGAACTCGCGGATAAAAAACAACCAGAAAATTACAATAAAATACAATACATTCTATTGTTGACAATTACCTCTGTTGTAATTGTATTGTATTGGTCAAGTGGTCAAAGTTTCTCCAAAACAGATTTACAATAAATTATATAACAATTAGTTCTATTGTATTATTATTGCTTTTGACTTTTGGTTGATACAATAGATTTTATTGCATTGTAATTATAGATTATATTGTTTTTGTATGGTAATTTTTTATTCAGGTAGTGCAACACCCTTGCACCTTCAGAAACACAAAAATCTGATTGAAATAGGGACGTAGTTCAAAAAAAAGGTTCCATTGGGAAAAAAATCCATCCTATATGGCAACCACCAAGAAGTTACCGATAAACTACACCGAGAACGACTTTCGCGACAGACTGTACCACCAGTCTGGCAGTAAACCAAGACCAACCGAACCGAACGTAAGGCGCGGTGGTTGATGTGCCAGATTCCACCGCGTGTCACAAACAACCGACGTAGTGTGGCGTGCAAGGCATCAGTAGGGAGCATACTGCAGCACAGGTCGGAACCATCCTCACATTCCGCATTTTTCCACGCTACCGTAAGCTTATCACACGCGACGCGCTCTCCTTGCTAGGTGTGCGAGGAGATATATGGAGGAAGGATTCGGTCAAATTCCATAAAGTGGTGAAAAGTGGGGTGCTTGTGGAAGTGATTTATTTGTGCGTTCCAGGAGTGGCAGGGAAGCTGGTGAAGGAAGGCCGTAAGGTTGATCTTTTCGTTGTTGAACTGCTCAATTCACTACTAGTCATGAACGGGAACGGATTGGACGTGTTTCCGCCAACACAATCTTTCCGCAGGAGTGGTGGATTACCAGTGCTTTGCTTGAAGGGCGCAAGATGCCACTAGTCAATACCAACATGTGTGCCGATTACCTTTTCTACGTTAGCCGGGCGGATATCTTTTCCGTTTATCCGTCAATCTTGCAGGAGATTCTGGTTGTGGAGGAGCTCCTTCGAGCAAAGAAAGTTACAAACTTGGGAGTCACTGTTAATACCGATCAGTTGAGGCTGCAGCTGCCGAGTGAGTTCGAGTGGCAGTTGAAGCAGTACTTTCGACTCTTGGAACAGCAGAAGAAAATCAACGCAGCTACTGAAAGTGGAATGTGAGTATGATGTGACCAATCAGATACCGCGCGTCTCCATCAAGTTGTTCCTTATGAAGTGGTTAACCCGGTTGGCACGAAAGAGCGTGCGTGCGTGTTGTGAATTTGGGTGATAAACAAGAATCGACATGCCAAGTGAAATAAAGATCACACATTTTCTTTTTGTAGGTACATTAATCAACTGCAGATTGGTTTACCAGTCAGGTGGGACTGTTCTCAACCCGAGCTGTTTCAAATCGTGTGAATAATTTACTAGAGTGTAGCGTGCCAGCAGCTCGTTATTGTATCAAGCGATTATCGCACTCTCGATACAAATCTGCTATAGTTTATACTGCCCATTATCGCATATCAGTCCCATATTAAGAAAGTTGGTATTGAGGCAGTCGAAGTTATGAAGTTTCACGACATGGTTAAAAAATCCTAGTAAACTTATGAATGAATTTGATGAGTTAAAAACAGTTGTAATGGAGCTTGTATATTACCATAAATATAAGAACTCAAAGAGCAAAACCGGTAACTTAATCTATGGAGGATTACATTTCGGGATGGGAATGATATGTGGTTACTTTGGATGATGGGACAAACTGACTTTTCTTGATTTTATCACATATTTTGAAAGTAGATACTTATTGACTGTTATCCTAAATTTGGCAAAAACGCACATGGGACTGATATGCCCTCATAGACAATAAAATCCTCATGCTTTTTTACATGTCTGGGATGTCAAGCAGTGATATAGTCAAACGCGAAACAAGGTGCCACTTTTCGTGTATGAAAGTACTTTCTTTCCTATAATGTTTTTTCACTTCTATTTGTGTTCATATAGGTGCTATTCTGCATGTCATTAGTAGTATTGTGCACTGAAGTTAGTTTTTTTTTTTTTTACGATATACAGGAATTCCCCGAATATACCCACTGCTATTTCTCGGTTGTCCTCCAACCTGGGATCATCTGGAAGCACTACAAGGGACAGCCCTATGGGGTTGTACGCAATGGTGACGTAGGACTACGTGGTCTTATATAATAAATTGTATTTGTTAACTGCAGCAGGAGTTTGTGTTTTGTGTAGGAATAGGAATTTGAGCGGGGTTCTCTCTGTTTATACTCTTTAGTGTGACGCGCTTGAAATAGATGGCCTACAACGACTTACGAAAAGCTGCTGATTCCGATCAATAGCGGTGCGGCTTCTTCCTCTTTCTATGGATGCTCATGTGAGCTGCAGCTTACTGCTTGCAGGCAGCCTTTCGTTGTGTAATGGGGAACACCACCACTCACCACGCGGTGATTGAATAAACACCGTTGGATGAGACCGGATGGAATTCAACTTTGAAATCTGTGTTAGGGAAATCACTTTTCGCAGGCAATCGGTGATAATTTTAATTGAATAAGATGGTGAAGTTGATTTGAGTGGGAGTGTTGTGGGTTTCAGTGGATTGACGTTTGAGTCTTTGTTTGCGGGGACGGGTACGTCTCTTTGAAAAAGTAAGCGAGATTTTCTCATTGAACCCTTAATAATAACAATGATTATAATAATATTAATAATATTTATTGACTTGTTGCGATCGAATTAAGGACGTTGCCGATTCCTATAAAGGAAACATTAGTCTGCTACAGAAGTACTCTGGAATTTGGCCCGGAATAGTTTATCTTGAGAAATTTATAGGATATTGGAGCCCTCAAGACGTTTTAAGAGATGTTTGCATCTCACAATCTGTAAAATTAGTTGATCGACCATATTCTAGTTTTCGTTCAGGCTGTTTTGTTTTGCATGGGAGGTGCGCTTCGGTCGGGAGCGAGTATACGAGACGAGTGAATACTCATTATTGAACATCGGATTAAAGAAAGGTGGTGCAAGACTGATGATACTAGATAGAATCTGTGTTGGGACTGAGCAGTGGCGTTGCAGTTGGATGGTGTATTTAGTTTACTCACTCGGCCAAATCGGACTCCTCTGTCGACGCAGCAATGTCGTACATTTCCTCGATCTTCTTATGAAGCCGTTCTTTATTTTGGGCTAATTCTTCCCATTCAGCATAAGACAGATTACGGTAACGTTTCATTGAAGACAGGATGGAGTCCCACCAAGTATATGATGGACGACACTGACGCAAACGGGAAGCAAACAATCGGGAAGCAGCTTTCGTTGGGTGAATGGCAGGACGGCGTTGAATATGCCCCCAATAGCGCAGCTAGTGCACACGAACTCTCTGTGTAATTCTCTTCTTCCGTAGTAAAACGTGTATTGATCGACGTAACGCATCTGGTTCTTCGTGACGGCATAGTGTTGCCATCTCTCGCACGATCTGCCTTTCATAATTCCGAAGTGAGGTCCTACTGTGCTTTGTAAGCACAGTAGTTTGAGTGCCATAGAGCATTGCAGGCGCAAGGACGGTGTCATAGATCAATCTTCCCAACTCCCAGCTTGGAGTATGCTGCTTCAAGAAATCCATCACAACTCTAGATGTTTTAATGGTGTTACGGCACCGGGTCCTGGTAGTCAACGGTCGGTCTAATTTAGGAGTTAAGTAGCAGCCCAAGTACTTCAATGTTTTTTGCACTTCATAATTCTTCCCCAAGATGTCCATCTGATCCTGTGTCGAACCGGCTTGTCTTCATTAAGATTTAGCCCAACAGTAGCTAAATATTGTTTTATTGAGGCAACGATGAGCTCTAGGTGTTCCGGATTTTCAACAATTATTATTAAATCGTCGGCGTATGCCAGGACGATTGGTAAGGTAATAGAACCACTTTGATTGAGGCAGAATATTTCACAATCTTCTTCCACAGTTTCTAAAACCGCCTCCATGATCAAATTGAACACAATCGGGCTCAGAGGGCACCCCTGCTTAATGCCAATGTGACGAGGAGTAGGATGCGAAAGCTCCCCTTGCCAGAGTGTCTGTTCCACATCGCCTCGTAAACATTCTACAACTCGATTGATCACGCCATGCGGTACTCCTTTCCCTGTACATTTATAATTTAAGAAAATGAGAAAGTGATTAATTAAAAAGAGCATCTCTTGATGTGTAATTTACCTTTAAGTATAGCTGGTAGGCATTTGAGGTTAACCATGTCAAACGCTTTTTCGATGTCTAACGACATAACAGCCACTGGAACGCCACCATTCCATCGATCTTGGAGTATACGCTGAACCACAAAAAGATGATCGGAGGTTGATCGCTCGGACAAAAATGCAGCTTGATGATGTCCTATATTGCCCACATAGCTTTGAAGCGTTTCGAGAACCCACATCGCATATAGTTTATAACCAGAACTAGATAAGCAAATCCGGCGATATTGTGATGTCGACAACGGGTTAGGAACTTTTGGTATCGGAATAATGAAATTATTCTTCCAAGAATTCGGAAGATTATTTTCGGTCCACACAGCTTCTAACAAATCCTTCAACTCTAGCAAAATAGCGGAATTTGCATACTTCAGGTACTCTGTGGGTATGCGATCTTGGCCACTAGCCTTCCCATTTGTCATCATACTCAGGAGTCGACGTATATCTCCAAGCGTAGGGCTCGCTGCTAATGAGCGACCGTCAGTTTCAGGAATCTGCTCGGGCAATCCGTCTGCATGATCTTCACGTACTGCATTCCAGCTGGTAATCGGGATTGTTGAGAAGCGCACTATACTCTTTCGTTTGCGGTGTTTTTTGAGGTACTTATGAGTACGGTTGATACGGGCTCCGTAAGGATACCTGTGAAGGTTTTTAAAGAATTCTTCGCATTTTTTTCTCGTCATAATGCTGTAGTTTAAGTTTCAAGCGGGAGGTAACGTCAGATAGTTTAGTGGATATTTTAACCGAAGGTTTCCACGACATCCAGAACCTATATTTGCATATCAGTGCCACCAGTTTCCGGCAGTCCCGACCAGGTGGTAGGCGCCCTTTAATTTGAATGGTCTGTATTGCAGCCTTCCTCGTCTTCTGGACAAGACCATCCCATGCATTACTTACCGACAAGTGTTTATCGGATTGTGACTTCTGGAGCTCTTCGTGGTACACTCTTTGAGCATCAGAGTGTTGCAGGATTAAAGGCTCATCCAACGGAAGGAAGTGAAATCGTTTTAATTGTTGATTGCATCTAGGGTTTGATTTAGCACCTATTTTTCGGTTTAGCATGATAGACCAGGTTATCATCTTATGGTCAGTTTTGACACCTACGGGTTTCTTTGCTTTAATGTCGCGAATGTAATGCTTGGATACAAAAGGAATTATTATATGATCTAGCTGTGAACGTGTTACACCGTTAGTGCATGTCCATAACAGTGACTTGTCGGACCGCATGGATCGAACTACCATATTGTGCCGTACCAAAAAATAACGTAATTGTACTCCAGATTGATTGCTCTTTTCGTGACATGTAATTCTCCCAAGACAGCTTCTCTCTCGCTCAGTGGAGTCATTGTAGGCAAGATGACTATTAAAATCACCGACCAGAATAACGAGTTCCTTGTCTGAGCAGCTCTCATAGAATCCACCAAGCTGCCCCAAATATGTCGAATTGGTTTTATTTGGAGCATGCACATTGACCACTATCATACGGTAAGTGGTAAGGCCAGCTGTATAATATACGTTAGCCGTCAAGATAAATGACCCAATGCAATTAATATCGTTTACATTAACATTGTGCCACTTGGAAACCAGAATGGCCAAATTGCGTTTTTTGTTTTTACGAGTGCTCCCAGTTAACCAAATATAATTCTTAGTATCGGATTTTGCTGCGTCAATATTAGCCTCCTGAAGGAAAGCAATTCCAACCCCGTCATGATGAAGACAATAATCAATTCCATTCCGCTTCTCGCGTGTTTGACAGCCCGACACATTCCAGGAGACCATTTTTGGAAGGCAATCGTCAGTATTGTCTGAGCCTGATTGCACCACAGAAGAACAGGCTACGACTTCATTAGCAGACGATGATTGAACGGGCAAAGGTTGGGCTACCGAAACATGTAGGCTGAACAAATAAGGAATTATCAGATGCATTGACGCC